CCATCGACGAGGGGGCCACCCTGCGGCTGGACAGCTTGTCCCCCGCCTCACTCGCTACCCCCTCCGCTGCGGCCGGGAGCGTGCCCACCACCGCCTCCGGCGTCCCTGCCCCCGTCGCAAGGTACGCGCGCCTCCGCGCGCAACGCTCCATCCGCCCGCGATGATTCCCCCCCCCCCCTTCCCTTGCCATGGGCCCTTCACCATCCCGCCGTTGGTGCAATGTGCAGGGACGTAGGCCCGGCGCCCGGGGAGCGCCCCCTGCTATTCGGGCACCTCTCCGCGCTCCCGAACGACAAAGAGTACATCCCCTTCGACGCCGCGCGGGACATAGAGGCCGGCCATCAGGTGGCCATCGCCATGTCCGACGCCGACGCCAAGGAATGGGGCCGGCGCTTTGACGTCGCCATTGTCAAGGGGGCCAGGGCCACAGAGGGGTGTGGGCCCGCGGCGGTGAAAGTGTTCACCGTCGTGTATTACGAGAGCGAGTATAAGCCCCAACCCCCCTACAACTTGGGGACCCTCCGCTTTGACGCCTCGGACGATGACCAACTTAACGGGCGCTGGGTGGAAGGGCGGCAAATACAGGGGGAGGTGTCCTCCGACAACATCATTTGTGACGTTTGGTTGGAGGCCAATGGAGCTAGGAGGGGGTACATCCACCCCCAGTACAAACAGCGTCTCTTAGCGGAGCTGGAGCGCTGGGATGAAATGTGCTAGACGGGGGAGGGGCCATTTCTAGACCTAGCAACTTGTAATTTCCTTTGCGTGCAACACCAATTGTAATTGTTGCTGCAAAGGCCATGTGGCACCCTCGACTCGTGGGTCACATGGATTGATTGTGAGGTGGTTGTGGGTGTCATTGGCCAGCACCAACTTGATTTTGTTTGTGCGCAACACATCGTGGTTTCCCTGTGCGTTGGGTGACCCAAAAATGGCCTGTTTGTGCGCAGGTTTGCTGTTGTGGCATTTTTCTTCCATTTTGCCTGTGCGCAAAATGCACGTTTTGTTGTTTTCCGTGACCCCCTTACCGACATTTTGCACGAAAGTTTGTTTTTTCCTGAATCCGTGCACAGAAACATATGTGGAAATGTCAAATGTGCGTTAATAACAAAAAGAGTGCTTAAGCGGGACCGAAGTGTTGGGTGTTAGCATGTTTTGGTTGATATGCTTCACCAGCGCAACACCACAAGAAACTCCATATGTAACCCCACAGGTGGCGAAAGGCGCCTGCCATTGGGTCATTGTTTAGCTCTTCTTTAGCAACAGCCAGGGAGCTCGCGCGATTGCGTGAATTCAATTGCACGATTAGAATTCAAAACGTTTGAATTCCAACTTTGCTCTGCACCTTGTGTGCCATACGTGGGAACTGCTGGCAGGCCAACTGTGGGCAGCCCTCCTATAGTGTTCCTCAGAAACAATGGTGAGAATGGTTCAAATTGCCCAGAACACCTTTCCGGGATGGATTGGTACATGCAGGAATTGTAAAGTACTGAACCTAACACAATTTCTCCGCAAAATAGGGCTTCATCTGACAGTGCACATTTTCGCCTTGGGTTGACAAGGATTATGCCGCCAATACTCTATCCGCAGCAGTCAGCAAGTTAGCTACCATTGAAAATGAAATTAACTATCCTGTTAATGGGTTTCTGCCAAGGGCGACGATGGGTGGGCTGTGCCGGCGATTCAAACGGTGCAGTTTTGGACCGGGGGTTTACTCAACCCCGTCCCCTTTGGGATTTCTGGCCAACACCTAGTACCGTGGGTCAGCCAAAGTACGGTGATACGAGGTGCCGCCGGCGAGGGCGCCCTCGAGTTTGGCAGGCTTTGGCGGGGCGGCGGAGGGCGGCTATTTAGGCAGCCCCTCTGTCCCCCTCCTTATCTTGTTTCGCACCCAGCCCTCCCACCCTGGAGAGTGGAGTTCGTGTCAGTTGTGGGATGGAGAGGGAGTTGAGGGAGTAAAGTATAGGAGAGGGAGCTGACTCACGGGGGAGTAACTCGCTGAGTGGCGTTGAAGTACTAGCGAAGCGAATGGGCAAGTTTGATGGACGGGAACCTCGGGTATGTGAAGTTGACGGTTGTTTGTAAGTATTGTCATGGGAGTACATGATGGGGTGGGCTCAGGAGACCGGTAAGGCAGAAATTAATAATACACGTTCATCACTGCTTCAGCACAGACAGAAACCGGTTGAATGGTAAACTCCTGGCCAATGGAGTGGGGTGTGCCCTCTGTATGGCAGACATACTTTTCTTGCCACAGGGTTTTCTGCTTTTCCTGCTGAACGATTGACCGTGTGCCCAATTCTAATTCGAGTTTTATTCAAGTCGAATTGACAAAAGAAAGTGTCTCAACAATGTGCACCACCACAAAATGAATCCAAAACTGCGTTGTCTTACAAGAATCGCATTATGGACGGGTTGCATGTGGACCAGTCCGAGTGGACTCCACCCGAACTTCAAGGTCAGCAACGTGGCAAAGACGGAGCCATCGCCCTCGGCCAGATCGTCTGATGGAGCATCTGCCACTCATCCTGATGGCCCTTGAACATTCTTTTGGGCAACATGAGCAGTAGATTTAGCATTGCAACAGGTAGGCAACTTCAAGTAACTACACGAAATAGGTGAGCATTCACCACGTACTAAACTACTGAATTAGGCATTTTGGCCTAGCTTACACTTTGGCAGAGAGGGTGCTGTCTGGTTAAACTCCTCTGAGCATCGGGTCAGATCATCTGCACTGACATGTCACCATTCAGAATCGCACAAGAAACGTCAGGCGAAGACTGCCCGGATCCATGGGGCTTCCATCCAAGACCACGCCCTGGTGGGCGTTACCTGGGCAATCGGGATCCACCCACTGGTGACATGTCGACAATAGCCCAGGCACCACGGAATCACCTGTGAGAATGGCTGTGACATCCTGGCACAGAAACAAGGACCGTGTCAACGCAATTCGCCACATGCGCTACATTGCTGTGAATTGTAGGCTCTGTAAAGAGTAGTCTGCGCTCCAGAACCGATGGATGTTGTTGCAATGTGCTCGGAACGTGCTCAGCGCTCAGACAGGCGAGAATTTACGTTGCTGCATTGGTGGGCAGATCCAGGTAGGTACACAGGGTCTGAAGCGCTTGCTGGATGCCTCAACGTCCGTCGTTGTTCTCAAGGTGCACAGACTTGGATTTCCGTGTTCTCTGCAACTTAGGGAAAAATGGGCCACTTCACAAAGCCCGTGCCCACACTTAAGCTGCGCTGATTTCCTGAACATCACTCTGTAATGCACATCTTGCATTTGTGCAAACCGTGCTTGATGCACAAAAAGCATCATGCAGCATAGCTGCAGGACTGCATGACTAAATCAACAGGTACATGTGCAACCATACCTGTGTGTTATGGGCGTCATTTTACCTGCTTTCTGTCACATTGCCCACTGAAGTGGATGACTCATAAACGGGAAAATGACAAAAGGGGTCCACTGCGAGATATCTTGAACAAAAGGGATCCTCTGTGACAACAGGGGGGCCTTCTACAGGGGGTGCAAATGACGAAAGGGGGTCCTCTGACACCCCCCTGTACATTAGACGCGTTGGCCGACCAGCGCCAGTCTGCAACCCGGTCCTACAAGGGTGACCACGTAGAGGACCCCCCTTTTGTTATTTGGACGCCAGTAGGGGACCCATCTTGTCAATTTTCCTCTTGGAGGTGTCGCGGGGGTTATGTTTGTCTGCGGGCTTTCTGAAGGCTGAAGCCTACAATGCACAAGCGTTAGCAGAAGCACGACACCTCTTGTGTTTGGATTTTGTAAGAACTCTTTTGTAAGGTATGTTTGTCTGCGGGCTTTCTGAAGGCTGAAGTCTACAACGCACAAGCGTTAGCAGATGCACAACACCTCTTGTGCTTTGATTTTGTAAGAACTCTTTTGTAAGGTGAAGTCATTGGCAGCATCTAGTTGGAAAAATTGAACCCTGAACGCAGAAACAATGTCATACCGACGTTCTGCACAACTGAGTTGGAAAAAACACAATCCAAACAATGGCCCGACTGCCATTTTCGGATTCGTCAGCCCATGCAAGTCTGATCTTGCCAAAAAAATACGTTGCGTGCACTCATTGCATTACGACTGTCACCAACGACCTTGAACATCAGGCGCAGCCCATCCATCACAAATCACGATCGTTCTCAAACAATTCCACAACCTCTTGACCCATGCACTGTGCAATCATTGCGTCTCAATCATCACTTATGGCATGAAACTCACCAAAAAGACACAAAATACAGTCTTGTGATTTCAAAACATGCAGCCATTCTGCTCCATGCATACAGATTCAATGCAAGTCAACACTAGTTTTTGAACATATGCTCAGAAACTAATGCGGCGCTCACCCCTTTGTGTCATGTAGGTGAGCATGCATGTTTTTAGAATGCCCAGAATGAACTAAACGTCTAAGGAAGCTAGCGATTTGAAAAGAATGAAGTGTTTAGGCTCACAAGCCATCCCTTCAGATTTCGCACCAAATGTCGTTCTTTAATGGCTTTTGAAGCCGCAAACACAGTCAGGTCATTGCTCAAAATGATTCATGTATTTGGTGGAGACCAATTGCATTTAAGTGATACACCAAGGGCAGGGGTGGTCGTCTAGGTGGCATCATGAAGACCCCACAAACCCCCACAGCAACCCCAAGAGGGAAATTGACAAAATGGGGTCCTTTGCCGGGAAGCAAATGACAAAAGGGAGTCCTCTGCGAGGTCGGCCCTACTAGAACCAGGTTGCAGACCAGCGCCGGTCTGCAGCCAGCCTGCCAACGTGTCTAATGTAAAGGGGGGCAGTCAGAGGGCCCCCTTTTGTCATTTGCACCCCAGCAGAGGACCCCCTTTTTGTCACAGAGACCCCTTATGTCATTTCCCCAGTCGTAAATGCTCAGAAACACATCTGTACGGATAGTGCTCTTGGGTTGAACCTTCATGACGACCTCTGTATCCTGTATGTCATGTTTCTCCGAAGGCAATCAATCCACTTCCACACCTCGATTTGTGGCTTCCAGCTGCCCTTCTCTGGACCTCACCTCCACGACCATGTCCAGCAGGCAGTGCCCCACAGCCTCCACTGATGCAGCGTCCAAACCTATCTCCCGCAGCCACCTCAAAGACCTTCCCCCACTTGCCTCCTCTGCCCACTCGAGGGCTAGGTGCAGTGCCCCGCCAGCAACCTGGCACAGCTCTATCGTTCAGTTCATTGGTTTCCGTCCATCAGTTTGCGTCCACTTTCTATCTGTTCACCGATTCTCTGTGCACCACACTGTTCTCCGATTGCTACCATGCACCTTAAAGCCGATGCCAAATTCTCCTAAAGCACAAGTGCTAATCATGCCACAGTACGAATTCCGATCTTCTGTGTCCAATGCAGCAGAGGTCCATTCCACTTCACTGCTAGCACCAAGCCCCCACTTCCCATCCATGTTTCCCTCGGTCTTCATCTTAACTTTTGCATTTGTGTTCTTTCAAACCTCCATTCCAAGCTGGGAAATACCGAATCTTACGTACCCTCAAATGCATGAATCTTGAAAACGTCCAAATGGATAAGGTGGCATTAGTCCCCATGCACAGGGATGCTATTGCAGTGGCTGCTTTTTCCCTTGGTAAGCAATGTAACACAACACGTAACAAATACCAATTCTTGAGCACATTCTGCACAAGACCAAATATCACAGAAGACAATAACAAATCAAGCCCAACCCATTTAATGCCCATGACAAGACACAGCAACATACAATGAACATGAATAAGCAAGGTGTGTTTGTGTCCACATTGCCCCAAAGAATGTTTGCAATTCGTCTGCCAATGCATATTGGGCACATATCTGAGCCGTCTCCAGATGTGTGTGCCGTTTTAAGACAGAATCTGGATAGGATCTGCTGATCGGTTGGCACCGCTTTTTCGCTGCCAACGGCTTTTTAACTACAACAATGGTGAAAATTTTCTATAACACATCCGTGCTCAGGAAGGGGTCTCCACTACACAGAGAACAACGACCATTTCACACAATTGTTGATGCGTTTGAATAGTGTCCACTGCCCAAATTCTTTTTCAATGGTTGCACCTGTGCCTGACCCAAGAAACGTTTCAACGTGCATCTTGAATTTGTCAACGGAATGTGACAAGACAGGCCTTTGCACCTCAACAAGCGATGACCAACGGGGGGCATCATCCAAGTAATCAATGTTGGAAACATCCCACAAAACAGGCCATTCAATGTCAAGTCTCTGTTTGGTGCTGCTTATCAGCAAAGTGCTGACTGACCAGCTGTCCACCTTTAGAAACATTCTTTGGCCAAACAGAATATACTCAAAGGAATTTCAGGCTTTGCTATCGACAGAGTACCGCCATGCAATTGATACATCGTTGGCAGAATGTCTCACATTCTGGATACCAAATAGCATATGGGGGTGCCATATCCTCAGCCATAATCCAGATATCCAATAGAAAATGGGCACCATATCCTGGATATGGATGCTACATACCCTAGATATGGCGTTCCCATATCCTGGAGATGGTGGCAGGATACGGCTGTATCCTGGATATGTGCATTCCGAACATGCAATGTTCTGTGGACGATTGTAGGCAATAACATGCCTTTTGTTGGGGTCGGGAGTTGCAATGGCGACACATTGCCTGCATTTCTAGGTGCCGCATTGTCAAACAATAACATGACAATTCACAGCTCCTGCACCCGTTATGCAACGTATGACATGGGTCACGGAAATATTAAAGTGTTCAGGACGAGCCACAGTCCAACAGGCTGCTCCAAATGTTTGCTGGTATCGTGTAAACAAATGCAAAGAACAGAGAGAGGCGCTCAGAGAGCTCTGGGAAAAAGGAAGAAACAGCCAGAGGTGGGCATCCATTCGTCACGATGATGAAAATGCTAGAGTGAACCCTATGCCAACACCTGCTCCCAACAGCACCTTGCACACAGCCATTTCCGTTTGACAGCGCCACTCCCCATCCCCTAGTTGATGGCAAGGTGGTGCTTCACCTCTTTGCAGGAAAAGCAACCATCAGGTCACGTGCAAAGTGGAGCCTTTCAAGGGACAATAGTCAAGCCACGAATTGACCTGAACAGCTGAGATGCTGAGGGAAGAACAGCTTTGCAGCTATTCTTGTCAACTGCCCAGCATTTCAACAAAACAAGGCAGGGCCATGCCTAAGCAGCACTCTGTGTGGTACCTGTTCAGGTGTCAGCCGCGCAACCAGGTCAGTGTACACCATGCAGTCGTTGAGAAGTGCAACGCCCAGTGCCGCCACTCTGTCAGAAGCACCCATCGCTGCACAGAAGCTGAGCAGGAATTTGTGCGGGTGGCTGCCCACCACCTGCTCGTCGGCAGTGCTCTTATTAGCATGAGTTCCTCATACTTATTAACTGTTGCCAAGCAATGTGAATCCCTTGTGGACTGCCAGGAAAACTTATGCTGGCAGGTGATCTGAACTCAGGCAACATGTGCTGTTAGGAGAGTGCCATTTGCTACGCTGTTGCAATGGATACATTCGCTCATTACATTTGTCTAACCATGGCAAGCAGAGTACATTTCTCAGTCTGGAGAAATTGGGCGATGGGCGCGTTGCACGACTGCAATGTCTCTTTGATCTTTTTGATTACAATGCCAAAGGTGCCAAAGGACCATCCTTGCACCCAAAAGCAGATTTCAGGCTGATTTGAACAAACTCTAACAAACAGACTTTCAGAAGACAGGGCAAGCAACAGTCAAGAATGTGTAGCAAAGAGCTACACAGTGCCGAAACACAAACAAGGTGCATCAATCATAGCCTGCAAGGCAAAAAGGCTTGGTCTTATCCTGGGAAGCTGGAGCCTGTGGACTTCCCCTGCAAAATGCTGTCACAACACATTCCTTGTCCATTCTGTCAGTGCAGACACATGCAATGCACTAGGCAACTGGGCAGCCAAAGATGTTATCATAACACCAATCCCAAGCATGTGCACAATTCCACAAGATCTGGCAACTTCCCCCTGCTCAATGCCCTTCTTTCAGCTTCTCCCTTTCGCCAAAGCAAGTGTGCACTCATGCACACAATCTTATCTATGCTCTCCCAAAAAGGTATAGCACCCTTTTTCTGTGTTTTCGCACAAGCAATCGAGGAACAGTCTCGAGACTAAAGTCGTCCAATAGGCAAACTGGGCAGTGCTTACCACATGTCAACACATGCAGACGACGGGGAATTACAAACAGTACCTGGAAATGCATGTGGCGCAGGATGAGTTGCTCAGCATGCAGCAGGCACAACTTGGCATCGTAGTACCGGCGGCCCACCAACCAGGGACAGGGCTCAGCAGGCAGCGCAGGGAGCCAGGGCATCGCAGCCCTCACAGTGGGGTGGCGTCCCGAAGCGCCTTTGAGGTAAGCAAGAGCATTCAGGAGATCTGTGGTTCGGAGGGGAGCCTGCAGCCACAGGGGGTTGGGGGTGGCACAGAACTCATCGAACTGGATCTGACCAGCTGCAAAAACAGCAAATCTAGAGCACCAAAGCAGATAACAGGTCTTTGGTGCAGAAGGTGTCCTGCAGCACACACTGGGGTTGGTTAAATCACCAAATCAAATGCTGTTGGGGCATGTCAACAACAAATTGTACGGTCAAGAATAGGTTAAAACTTGCAGAAAATATCTTGACACAGACGTGGGTGGTGTCAGACCAATCCAAATAACTTCAAGCCAGCTGTGGAGATAAGATAGGTAGGTCTGCACTGCAGAGGAGGGCATGGGGCCACAGGGGCAGATGTGGTGCTGAACTCACACCAAGCACACACCCCACCAGCTGCAAAGAGCCAGCAGCAGAAGCCATCAAACTGCAAACCGCCTAAACTACGTTCCCAACGTATGAATTCAAAACCAACATCCAGAATGACAGTGGAACTTAGCCTTTGTTTGTAGTGGCTGGGACTGGATGTTCTGCCCTGGCCATGGACGTAACCCAGCAGAGAGCAAATGGGGGATTGGCAACCCATGCCAAGATACCCTTGCCTTTGATGCTATTGAAAAGATCTCAAGCAGCTCTAGGTGGAATACATCTTGTTTAACTTGCCCTTCTCCATCCCTATCCAGATTAATCCCTACGGCGCCTGCCCCAACCCACCCACCTGCCCCATTCCACAACCTCACCCCTACACCTTACCTCTCCACCAAACCCTCCTAACACCACCATTCACCTTGAAACCAGTGGAGTGCCTACAATGGCAAGCATCGTGCCTAAAGCGATGCACTTCCCTTCTTCTACATCCAGCAGAAGCTCACCACCTTTTCCCAGTATGGGGAACCCATGGCACAAAGTGTTCCCTCCATTTGTTTGCAAGCAATCTCCAGGCGAGTTTAGTTTTATTTTGTCAAGCCAGTGTCTTATGTCTTTGCTCACCACCTAACCACTCACTTCTTATCTCAGCTCTTGACTTACACCAACACATCCTTGTGGGTTCCAAGGAAGAACATTGTTGGGGTTTGCGCAGCCTTTGATTAAAATTGTTTGAAGTGACAGCAAAATGCCCTTGGGGATAAGTTTGCAAACAGAATGCTCAAAAGACGATTGTCAACGTCCAAGTTCAATCCATTGCAAAACACTGGGAGCCCCAAGGTTGAGGCATGCAAATAATGGCGGGTACCCCAACATTTGAATGCCACTAGTGCGCTCGATGCAGAATTGAAGTGGCAAACTTGGCAGAAAATGAAATTTTGGGGGGTGCTATGAGGCAAGACAAGATGCCCAGCACATCCCCAATGCTTGGCAAATCTATAGATTACATTTGTCCAAAAGACGTGACCAACAAAGCCCTTGTGGCTTGCATACGATGACAGGGGCTGAAGCATCCACCCAATTTTGGTCCTTCCACATAATCGTTCTAACACATAGCCAATTTCAGCGGCTCTGTTGATCCAAAGGATTTCTTGCAAATGCAGTACAACACACACAGTGTGCCATTCTTTGTGCTGTGCAACTGGGCAGTACATGCTTTTTGAGGGGATGAGCTGCAAATTTTTGGACCAACCAGGAGATTAGTCAGCGTAGGATAGTGGCACAACACCCTCCCATGTTTATACTCCAAGTACGCAGATAAGCAGCAACTGGCAAAACACGATTGGCACGTTCTTCTAGGGAAGGGGGGGAGGCCCACTAAACTCTTGAACATGAAGCATGATGCAACGTTTTGGAATCTTCAGCTGGAAAATGGCAGACACCTGTTTGCAACAGTTTCACGCACCTCTTCCACCTTGGCAGCGCAGAAGAGGCAGGCCGCCGGGACGAGCTGAAGGCCGCGCGAGAGCGCCGGCACAATCCAAACAACGCAGGCCAACCGTGTCAGCTCCGACCCTCCTGCCAAACGCGGGAAAGGCGGGGGAGCGCCCGAAGCGCAGTCCGCAACGCTGGGCAACTGCACGAGCTCGAACAGCAGAAAGTATCCCAAAAGAAGACCTCCCAACAAACGATCGCCGCACTCGCGGCAAAAAACATCGCAGCCGGATCGCCCTCCAGCCTCCAAGGCAGCCCCAATCCCCTGAGGGCAGCCCCCTAGACGTCTGCGCCATCCCCGGCGGTGTGGAAAACGACCGCCGCTCAGGTGGAGAAAGGGGCTGCTGCTCCGCCTGAGCAACCCTTGCTCAGGAGGTAGGTGCCCATCAAGGGACCGGTTTCCCACTTCCGTCGACAACCAGCCTCGGGTCCATCATTCCGCACTTGCATGCATAAACGCCTGTCAAAGCCTACAATCCGCAAGGGCACCGCCTTGTCTCGCCGAAGGCAATTCTCAACGCAGGATAACAGCCTGTCAGGCGCGACTTAACAACGAAGGATTTCAGCCTTTCTGGCGCGATCGGGGCTTACGTCCTCACGGGAGGCGGCCTGCGGCGCGGCGGCGTAGAACTTGTGGGCGAAGGTCAGGGCCGTGGAAGTGCATTCCAGGGGAAGGTTCAGCACTTGGGCGGCCGCCCTCATGAGCAGGCACTCCTGGAAGTAAGGCACCACCATGGCTGCTTGGGAGCCCGCTGTTTGCACGGTGGGGCGGGCCCTGACGACTCGGAGTGACACTTGCTGGTTAAGCTTCGTGTGTCGCCGCTTAAGTTACGGTTCAGGGCGTTCGCTTAACGCCCTTTCGCTACCCTTTTCCCTTCTTCCCCCCCCTTTATTTATTTCCCTTAGGTTGTACACGCATCATACCTCGGCCTATTTGTATAACCCATAAGTAGCTATATTCCCCCCCCGTCTTATCATTGGTGCTTATGTTAATGTTGCTCCCTATCTCGTTACCGTCACGGTCGCCCTCCCCCCCCCCTTGTGATGTTACCCCCTCCTCCCTTTAAGCAAGACGTCCAACCTTTTTTAAATGGGGGCGCTTTCCAGTCCAACTTTTGTCACCTCACTCCCCTAACACCGGAACTACACTAGGGGCTGACCCGGGCCCACCGGCGACAGCCACCTAGCCTCCAAACACTCACCCGGGGATGGGCCGCCGACCCGCCGTCCCTGGCCCGTCGGCCCGTCGGCGCGGACGCGGCCCCCGCCCCCGGGGAGGGGACACCCTCCCACACGCTCCCAGCTACAACAGTCACAACCTCCCTCCCTCACACGCTCGCTCCCCCCAAGCGCTACTCCTCTCGTTACCGCCGTACTCGCTTCGTGCGTGGGGTTGGCGCGGGGGCAGTTGCACGTTTGCGTGTCCGTATTGTTGCATCTGGTACACCACGTTTTTTTTTTTTTTTTTTCGCGCTGTTTACGTATGGCCACCCCTTTGCTGCGCGCCCGTGCTGCTCTCAACCGCTGCTTACCGCCTCCGCTCACCCTGCCACCCTCCCCCCCGCCGGCGTCGCCCTCCCCCGCCGCTGGGCGCGGGTGATCGCAGTCGGCCCCCTTGCTCCGGGTAGGTGCTGGCGATCTGCCCCCTCCGCGCGCGCCTGCCTCGCCTCCCGCCAGGCATTTACTGGCATCCTCATTCTCCTGCACAGGGCCTTCCTCTTCGCCTGGCTGCGGGCTCCGCCCCGCTGCCCACCTCGCCGCATAGCTTGCGGCGGCGGCCATCCCGAGCCGGCTTCTTCTGCCGGGCTTCCTCCCGCGATCTGCGCATGGGTGCGAGGCGGCAGCCATTCCAGGTAACCAGGGGGCTGTCGCCTCCTTCGGCGCCAGATTGGTAGCCCCGCCGTCGGAGTCAAGCCCTCCTGCCGTGTTGCCTGCTCCTTCTCGTGCCTCAGTGCCCTGTTCTCTGCTCTCTCCTGCTCCCCACGGACTGGATCTCTCTGCATTCTGTGTGCGCCGGCCCGGCTCTGGTGTTGGGCGCACTCGCGGTCCTTCGCTTCCTCCGCGATAGCATTGGTCCCTGAGTGCCTTTCGGCCGGCCCGCGGCGCACATTCGGCATCCTGCGGCCCACCTACCTGCTCGGCTGGACGGGGGTACCCCCAATTCCACCGCCTCCTTGTTCCTGGTCTCCGCCATTACAGTCTTGCACAAACCCTTAGCCTCGCGTCCAGCGCCAGCGTCCTGTAGACATCCACCGCTCCGCTTCTCCATCGCCCCTGCGCCATCAGCCACACCAGGGGGACTCCCCTTTCCTCTGCCCGTGAAGCGCCGCCCACTCGCGGGCTGTGGGTGGACACGGGGGGTGATTCTAGGCCCAGCCCGGGCATGGCCTCCCCCAGTCGCCGATGCAGGATGCGCAGCCTGCGCGTAGCGAACGCGCTGGATGCGTACGGTCCTGTCCAGCTGCCTGCCCTGCACCGCTGGAACGCGGGTTCTGCTGGATCTTGGTGCCGCAGCAGTCCTAGGAACTGCTGCACTACCAATGCAATGTTGACCCCCGGCCCCGTGCACCCGGCCAGCACCACTTCCGCTCCTTTCCCTTGGGTGTTCGTCTTGCTCCACCTTATTCTCGGCACCACGTGGCTCCCTGCATCTGTCTCTCCCAATCGGATATCCTCCACCCGCAGCCGGTGGACCTCCGCTTTTCGGAGCATCCTGAAGAAGCCCAGCACCAACATAGCTGCGTCCCGGGCACCTTCTAGGAGGGATGCCGTGTCCTCTTCTATGTTGTTGTCGACCCCTCTCAGCAGGAAGGCTACGGACGAGTGTGGGTAGGCAACCCTTGGGGACTTTGCCCCCCCGTGCCTTCACCCTCAATGCCAATTGCCTTGTCAGGTCTGAGAGTCCTGGGTCCGCTCCTGGGTACTCCCAGCCCTTTTCGAAGTGCCACCCCCAAGCCCGGACTCATGGGAGCTGGGCGAGCAGCACGGGCTCTGCTCCGCCCCCGTCGATCCCGCGCGGCCGTGGTGGGCGCGGGGGGGATCCCCGCGCAGATCGTCTGTTTTTTGGTTGTCGGTGTAT